TTAAACACACTCTTACTCATATCACATGGGATATGAATATCTGCAAGAAATTTTGTTAACCAGAGATCCAGAGAGAGAAACACAGAGAGATTTGATTTGGTGGTGGTGTTGTGGCCCTTGTGGATTGGTGGTCTTTGCCACAGTGGTGAGGAATTTTTCAGATTTCGGGGGCAAAGCAAATATTTTGTATAGTCTATAGTGTTTTAGTGTGTGAGTATTTTTTGTGTGCATGGAATGAGGCGTAAAGTGTTGGCCTGTCCTCTCTACCTTTACCTTTTCCTTTTATAATAAAGTAAGTATATAGAAATAAATAAAAACTACATAATTAACAAAAAGAAATATTTATATGCTCAGCTGAAATGGGTTCATGGATTTGTCTCTCTCTCTCTCTCTCTCTCTCTTCCTAGGGGTTGTCTTTCTAGGGTTTTGTTTGTTTGTTTGGTTGGTTGGTTGGTAGAGTGTATATTTCAGATAAATTCCCATATGATATCCAAAGTGGATGGTTAGCTTATAGATAGTGGGGAGGGGAGAGATAAAGAACATAGATTTAATTTGGGACAAAAATTCCCTCATTGTGAACATGCATGCAGGGGCCCTCTCCCTGCCTAGTTTCTGTGATTTTATTGGCCAATTTCCAAATTTTGTTTCCACTGAGCAACATGCATATGGTGGCCAATTTTTTCAATATGGCTTTTTCTTTGATTGGGATGTGTATATTTGTGTGTTTTCTTTGTTTGCTGCTGCTGCTGCTGCTGCTGATGCTTCGTGTTTCACAATTGTGACAGTCCACCATAGTCCCCACAAAATATTTGTTCATAAATAAAACTAGTTTGACAATAAGCTAGCCTGTCTTTCTCAACTCAATCATTTTAAGGTATATTGGCTTGCTTCAATTATGGGGTAGGGTACTATCAAATGTACCATTTTCTTAATTGTGTTGTCCTTCACAATATAGCATATACATGGAATAACATACTCCAAAAAAAAAGGGCGAGTAAATTGTCTTTCAAAATTGAGATCCTGCCCGTGTCTAGAGAAAATTTATAGACTCTCGTGAAAGTAAATACTCTGTATCACTCGAACATATCACCTTGTTGGTTATTTGTGGACCAGAGTTTTTGTTTAGTGTGAAATGATTGTATGATCCTACCAAGGCTAGCAATTCCAATATAAATTGATAATGCATGGCACTAAGTAAATTATTGTATTGTCGCAACCTGCAATTGTACGGATTTACACTTATTAGCATGCAGTTGCAGTACTTTATTAAATTGTGTGACATGTAGTGTATTATAATTTTCTCTGCTGCAATATTGACATGCTAAGGATCTGATTAGAACTCTTGGAGCATGCAAGCAAAGATTAGGATGGATGATGATGATGTTAACACTTTTGGATCTGAATTCCGAAGGAGGCCAAAAAAAATTAGGTTTGTTTTTCTGTTGTTTTGCGAAGAACTGAAGATTCTATATAGTCAGAGTAATAGTTTTGTCTCCCCGAAGGCCGATGCTTTATGCAGTGAGATTGAGCTTTCCTTCCCTTCCTTTCTTTATAATTTTGTCATTTTCTATTTCAAAACATCTACAGACTGAAATTTTTATTTATTTATTATTTTGGGGAGAAATTCTGTAGACTGAATTCTATACACATACCGACAATATGTATACCATTGATTATTATAAACGAAATAAGAGGGAAATAATGCATCTCCTTATATGATGTCATAAATTATTATTCCTATGTCCCTCTATCATCATTCCTAAATTAATTTTTGACATTAAAATAAAAAAAATTATCATATTTTATGTTAAGAATCGGTTGAGAATTTGTAATCTTAGTCATTGAGTCATGTAAACGAATGACTGAGATTATAATTTCGTAACTAATCCTTAACACAAATTTTTACTAGAGAAATTTCCGTTAAGTTATATCTCACACTTCAATCATTCATGTATACATAGAGGAGGGGAAATGTGAAATGATAAGAAAGGGTTACATGCATGTAAGAAACATGCTCATCGCCAAGAAAGGCTCACCTTTCTCATTGAATCATAATTATTAATAATTTCCAAACGGATTACAGCTCTGCTAGCTACTCGAATAATGCAAAGATAAACATGCGCACCCATAGATTCCACTAATTTCGCGGAAGCCATTATATCCATCCAATTATGCTGTCTTTTTATACATCCCTACATCAAAATATTCTTACTTTACAATAAGCAACAAAATTATCACCATCCAAAACTAAATCGATTTTTTTTTTCTTTTTTCTTTTTTTAATTTCTTTTTGTATAAACGACATTCTATCTAAACTACGGAAAAAAGGATTCGAACTCGATGAATGAGGAGCACATCTGCTCTAACCATTAGAATATTCGTAATTTTGATTTTATTATACCTCATTAATAGTAGAGTCCAAAATTCCTTAGTTAAAGAAGATGTCACGTTGCTATACTTAATTGTGCAAAAATTAAAAAGGGGGAAAAGTATGCTCATGATTACAAAGGGAAAATGAATGCAAAAGGACAATCTAATTGAGAGTCCTTTACCCCACACGCATACACAGCACATACAAATCAGAGGCTTTTGATTTTCCCCAATTTAATAGTAATAATAATTATTATTATATAATAAATAAAAAATGTGTATAGTATGATCATCATCCACTTTAAACAAAGCCTCCATCTTGGACCCAACATGCCTCCTAGCCTAAACTTCATTCACATTTTGCTCCATAATCATGGACTCCACATAGTATATATTAATATATAAATATTCTCAGAACATTTGCATGATCCATATCCCCATTTTTGCCGCTAATCACTCCACATGGCATCTTTTCAACCGAAAGATCTTGAATGAACGGTCTACTAATTGCCCCTTTATTTATTTATTTTTCATTTTCTTTTCGATTTCTCCAATAGGTATTTAATTTTCCTAATTTTAATTCAGGTTTATGTCTCCATGGTCCCTAATCCAAGCCTAAGGGCTCATTCTTAACAAATAAAATGATCATGATTAGGCTAATTTGAGACAATTAGGGTAGAGAGATGAGGTGAGGTAGGCCTTGATGGTGGCAATTTGCAATTGTAATTTATCCTATCATATAGCCTCCCAAAAAAGAAATATATGATTATACAAGTAGAGTGAAGGAATCCCAAGAAAGAATGTAGAGTTTGGCATGTTACTAAAGCAAGACAAAGGCAAAGAAAGAAAGAAGCACACAACACAACACAACACAACACAACAGACCAGACCCAGAGGCCAATTTCTATGCACACCCCTTAGGGATTTACAAATATTCCAAACATATCTTTAGGTGTGTGATGCTATTACATGTGTTGTTTTTGAGAGCTATGCTGTTTCGCTGCCAAAGCCTTGAAATTTACACACAAATAAAGGGAGGTATGCCCTATTGTTTACTATAAAACTGCATGAAAATCATCAGCAGAAATGTTTTTCTTTTCAAAGGTGAGGGGATAGAGGGGAAAGAAAGAAAAGATGGTCTTTGCTTTCTTGCCCTTTCTCTTTTTTAATGATAAAGTAGAGAGAGATAGGATGAAGAAGTATGCTTGGAAAGGATGTGCTTAAAAGAAAAGGAGTTCACACAAGAAAGATCCCAATTTTTCTAAATTTATTTTTAGGGATGAACCCAATCATGTCTACACTACAAGAAAAACTTCCTACCCCCGTTGCATTGTCTCATTCTTCCTATCTTTTTTTACACTTGTTGCATTGTCCCCTTCTTTCTATCTCTCTCCTCATCATGGCCACATTACGAGAAAAACTTCCCTACCCTCATTGCATTGCCCCCTTCTTCCTATCTCTTCTTACCCCCATTGCATTGCCCCCTTATTGAGGAGAGAGATTAAAAAAAAAGAAAAAAGAGACAATGCAACGGGATCCAGAAGTTTTTATCCTACACTACACACTTCTTCAAGACTTCAAGTCAATTTGTTGTTTTGGGCTGTAAAGGCTACTTGAATTTGTAGATTGGGCTTTCATTTTTGGCCATCTCTAACCCAAGAGGCCAAATTCAAAATATCCCAAAATTTAGCCCAATTACTCTCCCAACCTTAGAAAAGTAAGGGTCTAAAATTTGGGAAACCCCAAACTTGGGGTAAATACCAATCCAACTATTGCTTGGATTGGAAAACTTTTTGGTGGAGCCCACTCAAGGCTAATGCAGCCCATGTGCAAAAAGAAATCAATGGGGAGCAATGTGTTGCGCTGCTGATATTGCAAAAGCTGTCACGCACTGGTGTCGCAATACTTTTTTTTTATTCTAACAATAACCCAAATCAACGATCCATGTTAAATTCAAGCTATTATTTTAACGGTAAAAAAGAGAGCCCATGACTGAAATTTAAATCCAACAGTTAAAATAATATTTTAAATTAATCTAAATCATATCCAACCCCAAAACTCACTCCAAACTCTATAAATACCCACTTATTTATCAAATAAAATTATATTTATGAAATTTCAATTTTTTTGATCAAATTGTTAAAAAAAAAAAAATATTATGAAGTTATTTAAAAAGATTAAAGAAAGAATAATTAGACTTATACTATTCTTAAACAATTTAATAAAGTTGCGGATTTAAAATTTGAGTCTAAAAGGTTGGGGGAAAAAACAATTTGAGTTCGAACAAAACCCAAATACTTATTTTTTGGAGGAGGGAAATTTGAGTTTAGGACCAAATGGATTGGAGAAGGCCTTAAGAGACCTTTCTTCTCTTCAAAAGATAGAATAAATGAAAAAAAACCCTTTATTGATGTGTGCTGGGCTTTAATGTTAGATGGTTTGACCCAATATTAATGAATCAATTAAAAAAATAGATCCACCAAGTTGGGCCTGTCTGCCTCAGCATTTGAGTTTCCACCTAGTTTAGAATCCAGACCCATGACCCGACCCAGAAAAGTCCGTCACTCTATGGTTTTGTTTGTCTCCCGCTTCTCACCCATTTTCAGACTTTCAAGCCGCCGAAAATTTTAGTCCGATCAAAGCTCCCTATAACATGCCGTAACAATGAGACATAGAAACCACACAAATTTGCGTCTTTGCCATTGCCATGGTCGACTTCCCCAAATCTCTATCTCCGAAGCGAGTTCTGAAGCTCCTCCAAGCCGAAAAGAACCCGCACTCCGCCCTTGCTCTGCTCGACTCAGCGAGTTGCCACCCGAACTACAGCCATTCGCCCGACGTCTTCCACCACATCCTCCGCCGCCTCATCGACCCGAAACTTGTGGCCCACGTCGACCGGGTCGTCGAGCTGATTCGGACCCAGAAATGCAAGTGCCCCGAGGACGTGGCATTGACTGTGATCAAAGCCTATGCGAAAAACTCAATGCCCGATAAAGCTTTGGCTGTGTTTCAACAAATGGAAGAGATTTTTGGGTGCGCGCCTGGTATAAGGTCGTACAATTCGCTGCTCAATGCTTTCATTGAGTCCAACCAGTGGGAACGGGCTGAGAAGTTTTTCGCTTATTTTGAAACGGTGGGTTTGTCGCCGAATTTGCAGACTTATAATATTTTGATCAAGATTTCGTGTAAGAAGAAGCAGTTTGAGAAGGCCAAAGCGTTGCTAAGTTGGATGTGGGAAAAGGGTTTGAAGCCTGATGCGTTTAGTTATGGGACTTTGATCAACGGGCTTGCGAAAAGTGGGAACTTGTGTGATGCTTTGGAGGTGTTTGATGAAATGGTTGACAGAGGGGTTAGTCCTGATGTGATGTGCTATAATATTTTGATTGATGGGTTTTTCAGGAAAGGCGATAGTGTGAATGCTAATGAGATTTGGGATAGGCTGGTAAAGGACTCAGAGGTTTATCCTAATGTTGTTACTTATAATGTTATGATCAATGGTTTATGCAAATGTGGGAAGTTCAATGAGAGTTTGGACATATGGAATAGGATGAAGAAAAATGAAAGAGGGCCTGATTTGTTTACTTGTAGTTCTTTGATTCAAGGGTTATGTGAAGCAGGGAATGCTGATGGAGCTGAGAGAGTTTATAAAGAGATGGTTGGGAAAGGGGTATCACCGGATGTGGTTGTCTATAATGCAATGCTCAATGGGTTCTGTCGAGCTGGGAAGGTCAAAGAGTGCTTTGAGTTGTGGGAGGTGATGGAGAAGTGCGGTTGTCATAATGTTGTGAGTTATAACATATTCATTAGAGGGTTATTTGAAAACGGGAAGGGCGAAGAAGCAATTTCTGTCTGGGAACTAATGCATGTGAAGAGTTGTGTTGCAGATTCCACAACCTATGGAGTATTAATCCACGGACTGTGTAAGAATGGGTACTTGAACAAAGCTTTATGGATTTTAAAAGAGGCAGAAAATACAAGAGCTGACCTGGATGCCTTTGCTTATTCCTCAATGATTAATTGGTTATGCAAGGAAGGGAAACTAGATGAAGCAGCCAGGCTAGTTGGTCAGATGGATAAGTGTGGCTATGAACCGAATTCTCATGTTTGCAATGCATTGATATATGGGTTTATCCGAGCTTCCAAACTTGAAGATGCCATTTTCTTTTTTAGGGGAATGCGTACAAAATTTTGCTCTCCAAATGTCATCTCCTACAATACTCTCATCAATGGATTATGCAAAGCAAAAAGATTTAGTGACGCATATGTGTTTGTGAGGGAAATGCTGGAAGAAGGATGGAAGCCGGATATGATCACATATAGCTTGTTAATGGATGGCCTTTGTCAAGACAGGAAGATTGACATGGCCCTCAACTTGTGGCATCAAGCTCTTGACAAGGGATCTGAGCCTGATGTAACTATGCATAACATTATAATTCATGGGCTTTGCTCTGCGGGCAAAGCTGAAGATGCTTTGCAGCTTTATTTTCAGATGGGGCGTTGGAACTGTGTTCCAAATCTTGTGACCTACAACACCTTGATGGAGGGGTTTTACAAAATCAGAGACTGTGAAAAGGCATCAGAAATTTGGGCCCGCATTTTTAAAGACGGGCTACAACCAGATATCATCTCCTATAATGTTACACTCAAAGGGTTTTGTTCATGCAGCAGATTATCAGATGCCATTAGGTTTTTAGAAAAGGCTTTGCATCTTGGAATTCTTCCAACTTCCATAACGTGGTACATACTTGTTAGGGCAGTGCTCAACAATGGGGCCACTTAGTACTCTTCTTGGGTATAAAGTAGTATGGAAATAATTCATCCCATGCATTGCTTCATCTGGTATTGTACGAGGAGTCTCTTTTCAGATTTTGTTTGGCATTGGGAGACTTTAAGATTCCATGTGGTGACAAAAACCACCTGTGGAACTATGTTGCTTCGCTAGTCAGTAGATGCTGGGATATCTATTGATAATGAATATGCACAACGAAATATTCTTCAACATGCTTTTCTTTTGAAAGTGACATAAGGTATGAATGAATTGTACACTGTTTATATTTTTCTTGGGTTTGTTGCATACTCATTAATGGCTGTTCCCTGGTGCAGGTTGGATGCCGAGTTCTTTTATTGATCAGGTCACTATTTGGCAGAAGTGTGAGTTTTCCAGAATTTGGATCGCCAATCTTGCTCACCAGATTTTATTGTCTATTGCCAATCAGTTCTCAAATCTGGGTCTATATGCATTTTATTGCAGAGTAGTGGGTTTAAGAACATATAGAAGCTCATGTCGAAAAAATTATTAATTAAAAAATCGTGAAGCATGTCTGGCATGAATTATAATAATTAAAAGTTCATGAAGCATCATATATGGTAACTCAGTGCCATAGTTTTTGGTGATTGCAGTAATATCACCAAGATCACCTTTTGATGATGCAAAAGCAAAGTGGCTTGATGTATCAAACCCAAGCTGTGAGATTTACTTGGGGTTATTTATCATGCTACATGTGTGTAGATGACAGTAGCACAGGTCCTGATGCAGTTTGGATGCCAATTTCTTTTATGCATGCTGGATGAGACGTCAAGTCAGCATTTGGTACAAGTGTGACTTTCACACAATCTGTATCAACAACCTTCCTCACCAGACTTTAATGTCTGTAGCCAATCAGTTCTCAAGTATGGGTTAACATGCATTTAGTTGTACACTACTGGGTTTAATTTAAGAACATTTAGAAGGTCATATAGAAAACCATATTAATTAAAAAATCTGAAGGCGTGCTTGGCATGATCCATTGTAATTAAAAGTTCATGAAGCATCATATATGTAACTCAGTTACATAGTTTTTGGTGATTGCAGTACATCCCCAAGATCACCTTTTGATGATGCAAAAGCAAGGCTTGACGTATCAAACCCAAGTTGTAAGATTTACTTGGGTTTATTAATCATGCTATATTTGTGTTGCTGGGAAGTAGTGCTTTGTCCTTTGATCAGGAAAAGCATGGTATATTTGTGTAGACCCAAGCTATGTTTACGTAAAATAGTTAAGGCTGAACATTTTACAGCATAATGTTTTTGCTTCATGAGTAGGACAAGCATCACCTTCTTTCTTCCTCTGTTTTCCCCTCTTCTGTTATTTCTGTTTCTGATAACATTTTCTGCTCATAGATGACCTGAGCAACCAAACCCACAAAAATTGCCCCGAGAACTGCAACTTTTCTCCAATCAGGCGTTGAAGTGATGAAGGATTCAACGATTTGTATGAGTAGCAGGCCAATCAGTGCAACATAAATGTTCCTCCTGGTTTCTGATCCTGCACTTTTTTTGGTAAGCTTCTTGATCTTCTTTGTTTCCTCCGTAGCATCCACTTTTTCCTTCGGTTTCCCCTGTGTCAGATTCTTAAAAAATAACCCTTCATTGCGTTCTTTGTCAATCTCACCTTCGAATGCTGCTAACTCGTTCTCATTTTTCTCCATCTCCTCAATGTTAATTCCTGCAGATTCCTCGAAGGCCTGCATGCGGCTGTTTATATTCTCCATAATCTGCTAATCACAAATGAATAAGAATTGGATTATCAACAGAATTGCATAGCAAGCCCCATTTTTAAAAATCTTTTAACGCTATTGCATTTACTAGGAACGTAAACAGACCCTGGTACTGGCTTCATCCAGGTCTTTGAGGGCGTCTTCTCCAATCTTGTCAAACTCAGCGGTGGCCTCTTCTCCAAATTTGGTAAGATATTCGGATCTTTCGTCTAAGTAATCGGTGAGACGGACTTTCTGAGCTTGAAGCATTGCTATCCTCACCAGCAGGTCCTGCTTGCGAGTATCTCCTTGTGGTGGGGAAGCTTCTGACTCAGAATCAGAATCACTGGACTTGCTGAAGCGCAAGATGGAATTCTTAGCATTGGAAAGTCTTCCTGTGTGTAAAATGTTATGCTTGGTGGTGGTGAAAGAGGTTTGAATGAGCTTGAGGCCAATCATCTTCTCTGCCTTCAGTGTTGGCTTTGAGTTTGGATAAAGGAGAGGGAGAAATAGGAGAAAGAGAAGGACAGATATTTTATATGTTGTTTTTAGGTCCTTCTGAGCCTCTCATGTGGTGTTACATTATCCATTAGTATAAATAGTTGTTTCTTACACATGAATGTTTCTTAAAATGTGGGTTTTTATCACCTAATTGTGTAAAGAAAAAGAATATATTGTAAACCCAAAAGAATGTCCTGATGGGCTGGAACAGCAGTCCCTGTGCATGAGGTGAAAATTATTCATTTTTTTTAGGCTTATTTATTGTTTCACCCTAGGAACTTGAGCTCACTCTCACTTTAAAACCCGGAACTCAAATTTCCTCATTTTACCCCTTGAATCTCTAAAAATTGCTGAAATTTTCTCACTTTACTACTTCCTTTTACAAAACCATTAAGTGTGCCGAGGTGGCATGGGCATTCTTGTAATTTTAGCCCTTCTATCTCCTCTCTTCTCTATGCCTCTCTCTCTCTCTCTCATCCCCTCCCCAGACCCATTCCCCAACGCACCTTACACCCTTCCCTTTCTCTGGCTCTCTTCTCTCCCATCCTATCCTCAGACCTTACCCCTAGCGCTCCTCCATTGCATCCCAACCCTCCCATCTTCTTTCTTCTCTATACCTCTTTCTGCCACTCTCACTCTCTCTATTGAGAGAAGATGGGGAGTGACTCTCAAGGAGATTTTTAAAAAAAAAATAATTTGAGTGGTGGTGGTTTGGGTGTGTTGAGTAATTCCATGGAGGGTTAAGTCTGGGGGTGAGGGTTGGCCCTAGGGAGGGGAGAGGAGAGAAGAAAGAGGCAGAGAGAGTGAGAGTGAGAGAGATAAAAAGAGAGGCAGAAGGAGGGGTGGGGTGCGATGGAGGTGCTCTGGGGGTTGGGATGGGAGAAAGAGAGAGGCAGAGAGAAGATAGAAGAGAGAAGAGGGGGAGGAGGTGGGTGCGATGAGGGTTGGGTTGAGTAGAGAGAGAGAGAGAGAGAGAGAGAGAGGTCATTTAATGCGAAAATGAGACGGCGTTGAGGGGAGGGGGTAACATTTTGAGACAGAGTGGAAGAATAGGGGTAAAGTGAGGAAATTTGAGTTCCGGGTGGTTAAGTGAGAGCGAGCTCGAGTTCTAGGGGGTGAAACAATAAATAGGCCATATTTATTTATTTTATTTTTTAAATAAATGCAAGCAATAGTCTAAATTATTTTAAATTAACCAATCTATGGAGATGAGGACTCGAATTTGAATGCAAGGGGGGGGACACACTCCCTGGCCAATTGGCCTAACCCGGAAGGTGAAAATTGTATTCATAATCAAGCTAATACAACTCCAGATGTAGACTTGTTTCTTTTACTAATTTGAACAAAATCTGCTTATAAATTGAAAACAAAAGCGAAATCTGCTTACAAAGAAATAATTGACACAAAAACATGGTGGATTAATTGCCCTCAAGTCGAGCAATTAAGAAAAATTAAAAAACACCAGTAATCTATTTTGAAATTAACACACAAATTCCCAAACAATATTTTCAACTTAGCAACATTAAAATGAGAAAAAAAAAAAAGAAAAAAAAAGAGAGAGAAACTACAATGGCAGACCAGCTCAAGCGCCAGTCTCCTCCTAGTGGCTTTCTGCTGTAACCTCTATCAGTTCGTCCGTCCTGTCACCTTCTTGTAAGTATACCACTTAGCAATCCACAGATACACAAAGAAGTTGATGATGCTGAGGGCAGCCAAGAGCCAGTAAAAATAGTCAAGATGGCCTCTGTTCAAGTTATTTGGGATCCAACCCAGGTGCCCATTTCTTGTGGTAACTTTAGTTACCACAGTGACAAGCAGAGAACTGAGGTAATTACCCAAAGCAACTGTGGTAAGTGAGAGAGCAGAGCACAAGCTTCTCATGGCGTCAGGTGCCTGGTCATAGAAAAACTCCAACTGTCCAATGAAAGTGAAAACTTCTGCACATCCAATGATAAAATATTGAGGAACTTGCCAGAAGATTGACATGGGTATATACTCAAGGTCATAATAATTGTTCTTCCTTACAATGCCAAGCCTAGCAACTTCCAAAATCCCAGCAACAACCATGGAAAATATGGACAAGCCAAGGCCAATGCCCATCCTTTGCAGCTGGGTGAAGCCTCTTTCATGGCCAGTGAACCGCCTTGCCAATTTGACAATGACTTGGTCATATATAAGAGCCCAGAAAATGACACTGACTGTGTCAAAGAGGGAGAGGGAAGCTGATGGGATCTTGAAGTTTGGGCCCATGTGTTGGTCCATTGTGTTGCCTTGCAGCACAAACATTGTGCTCATTTGACTGTATACTGCAGCAAAGACTATCCCAGATGCCCATATTGGAAGCAATCTGATAATGGACTTTAGCTCCTCTACTTGAGTCACTGTGCAGAGCCTCCATGGATTTGGCAAGTCCTTGGCATGGTCAGTTTCTGATTCCACAGCAGCCTTGTCGAAGAACCTGAAATTCGACCAATATTATGTCGAGGCATAATCAAACAAACTTAAAGATTGAATATGGTTTTAAAATGAAAACTTTTCTGTAGCTTACTGAAATTCTAGCTGTGTGAGCTTACCTTAGCTTGTCTGTGTGCTCAAGCTTGCGGCTTCCTTGGATATTACACTCCTCATCTGGAGTCTCAAAGAGAAGAGACTTGTCAGCTGGAACTTTTACATTGCATTTCCTGATGGATGCAAAAATGACCTGAATAATCCTTGTGAGGGGACTCCCTCCTGGTTTTTGAAGACGGTATAACTTGCTGCCCAAGAAAAAGAACACAACAGCAATGGCCATTGCAACTGCTGGGATTCCGAACCCCCAGTTCCATCCCACAGTCATTTGTGTCCAGACCAAAACTGTGGAAGCAATAAGTGCACCAATATTGATTGACAAGTAAAACCAATTGAAGAATGAGCTCTTTTTCTTCCTCTCAGTCTCATCAGTTTCATCAAATTGATCTGCACCGAAGGATGAAACGCATGGCTTGATTCCACCAGTGCCAAGTGCAATCATGTACAGTGCTACAAAGCAGGCTGCTCTTTGTGATGATGTTGCCTGGCAACCAGATTTATCGCACCGTGGTTTTAGTCCTTTGATGGAGGCAGTGAGTGTTAAGAAAGTCATCCCCTACAAAAACAACAATTCTTCAATAAATAGCCTCTTGGAGAAGAACAAAAATCTATATTAAAATCAATTTGTCTAAATGTAACCAAAACAGCAAACAATAAAAAATCCATAGCGAAAAGTTTGAGTGTGGCTAAAGAGTATGGCCAAGAATGAACGTCAGCATGGTTTGACAAAACACAGATGAAAGTTATGGTTTTTATGTCAAATTGGATAACATGTGCACTAAAAGGCTTGACAGTAAAGTATAAACTTATCACTATATCCATTTCAAACTTTCGTGTCCCATATTCTGAGAGGAGAAGAGTTTTTATTTGGACCGAACTTACAAGAGCATAAATAACTGAAAAGATGGCAATTGTCCAATATCTTCCCAAGTATGCATCAGCTAGGAAGGCTCCTATCAATGGAGTGGCGTAGCACGTCCCGGACCAATTAGTGACAGTGGTTGATGCAGCGACATTTCCCATGCTGAGACGTTTCCCAAGATAGTTCACTAGATTGGTACTCATTCCATAGTATGCCAATCTTTCACAGCATTCATTTCCTGCAACAGAATTATGTAGTGATCAATATAGGCCCTACAGAGTACCATGAAGGGGATAATAAACAGAAAAGAAATGAATAACAAATAAAGCCATACCAAGAATAAAGCGGCATGCTCTCCAATTTCCAGTCTTCTTCTTGTTAGCAGGATTTTTATGGATGTCCACAGTCCCATCGTTCGTATAATCATCATCTTCCCCCATAGTGTGCTGCAGATTAGCTATCTTCCAAGTTCCTGGCCTTGTTTTTCTTTGTATCTAAAACCAAAGACACCTACAAAATCGCCATCATCATGTACACGCTAGATAAGAGCAATCATGAGAATTTTGAAAGTGAAAGCATTGGCTTGGATATATTCCACTCATTTGATCATGCTTAGGTTGGTTGCTGAAAAGCAAGTTAGGAATTATATGGCCAAACTCAAATCTAGATTCTCAAAATATGTAATTCGGAGCACGAATACTTCACCAAACACTTGAACATATTACAGAGCACATGTATGCCATATATAACCAAACCCAGGCCATATATCTATTTTTTCTAACATAGATAATAAGTACAATTCAAGCAGCATGTCACATGAAAACTCACAAAGTTTTTGCTTACGAGTCGAAAAAGAGCTTAAATTGCTAATTATTTATGGGTGGTGATTTTCCCACTCCTCTTTTGTCCACTTACACTCCTTTTTGTTTTTTAATAGTTTTTATTATAACAAAAAAGGGAGTGTAAGTGGACAAAAGAGGAGTGGAAAAATCAGCTCCCTTATTTATAATTTGAAAGACAAGGGATTATGAACTCTAATAATGGGACGCTAACAACAACTGGTCCACCAAGAATAAAATGTTCTTGAGCAGAATCTGCACAACACATGAATATATATATATACACTAAGGGCAATTTAGCATACTAGTTTTCTTTATCTCCAATAACTAGAGCCTCCCATCATCAAAGAATCCACAAACCCTATTTTATCATTCAAATTCCCATTCTCTCAACCAAAAAAATGAAAAAGAAAAATCAATCAAAATTCCATAAACACAAAGAAGCTAAAGTTAAGTAAAGCCTAAGCAATGTGTCATCATCACCATATGAAAGTCAAAATCAGTTTGTTCAAGAAAAGGACAAACTCCACAACCCAAAAAATAATAAAGAAAACCAAGAAAGACAACGGGCACACACAGAGGATTTCTTTTCCACACTGTTAATTAAGTCAAGCCTCAAACTTGTATTCTAAAACATTTCATGAATAACAGAGGCAAAGGCAAACCACTCAATGGCAACCTTCAGATTTATTGTAGATCAAAACAAGCAAGTTGGGACCTCAGAATTTGAACCAACAAGAGACTTTCTAAGAAATATGAATCTTTGACATGAATGGGAGAGAGAGAGAGAGAGAGAGAGAGAGAGAGAGAGAATCAGTAATATAAACAAAAAAGTACTGATCAAATGTGCAGACATGTCACATACCTTTGGAGTGAAAATCAAAAGAGAGAGAGAGAGGAAAAAAAAAAGAGAGTAGATTTTTTATGGGCGTTAAGGGTGATTAGGGCCAATGAGTTTTATATGGGCGATTACAATGCGAGCGAAACAAGGAAAATAAGTCCGGTTCCTGCTCCTACACAGCAATTCAAGAGCCACTAAATTTTATAGGAAAATAGTCAGATATGAATATGATTTTTAGTACTACCTGTTTACGTAGCATTTATTTGACAAGGATTTCATTTATTTGTTTGTTTTCCTTTTGGACGTGTGGATGCATGGTAGCCGTTGATCAATATAAAACCACAAATCATTGACTCACGTGGACAACTGCGATTAGCATGGCGACCCCTTAAACTGCTTATTGATGGAAAAAAAAAAAGAAGAGTCAAATGATCAGCAAGGGATGGCAATTAAATCACCATGCTGCCTTTGGAACATTTGTCAGAGGAGGAAAATTTTTGGCTGCCCACAACCGTCGAGAAGCAAAATCTTACGAATGAGGCTGGAACTTGGTAGGTAAAGATGTTAGACGTGTAGATGTCTAACCCATTAAAGTGTGGTCTTCACTGAAATTATATTATTGGTGCAAAACATGTGTTCGATGAGTGGGAGCATTTAATGATCTTCTTTGTTGCATACATTTAGTTTTGACTGTTTATGATTAATCACTTAATGTTTCAGTTCTTCATTAAGGTCTTAAGGCTAATAAGAACAAAGATGTGTTAATTGTTATTGTTAATTCATATTTTCAATTAACAGTGGTTACTGTATGAGGTTTTTTTTAAAGCTTGTGAGATAGAAGGTAAATGAAAGGAAATTGCATTGATTCATTGATTTACTGTATGAGGTTATTCCCAAAAGTATGAATGGGAAATTTGATACGATTTTGGTTATGCCGTTCAATTTTTATATGCAAAATCAATGGGAGCTGAGTTTTATTCCACTTAATTTCATTATTTTCTTGGAGACAATTAAGTATTTTGTTTGCAACTGTTTGGTTCAATTCTTTTAATAAATTATGTGACTTCAGTTTTATGTTTATTATTCTTGACAAATGAATCCAGTTACATGTCATCATGCAATATAGCTAGCTACAGTCATTGCATAAGACATGAATTCATACCAGAGTCATTAAGGAGAGATCTTGATAATCTCTTAAGGGAGGGCATATGAATGAAAGTGACTTTTGTAAACACAAATTAAGTTTGGTCATGATCATTCTGCATTCTAGTCTTGATGGAAGTCTCATGTGATCTTGAGAGCTTGTATGTGTAATTATAAAGACCTTGAAATATTGAAATGTTCAATAAGTCTTGATAGTTCCATGCTTGTTCTTTTGATTGACAGTGACTTGATTAGGAATTATTGTTGAATTGAATTCCATAGGCCTTACAGTAATTGATATTGAGTTCTTGATGATCATCAGACCAAGTGGGAGAATGTTAGACGTGTAGATGTCTAACCAATTAAAGTGTGGTCTTATAATCATCAAATGATTCTAAGACTTGATATCAATTAGGAGTTCAAATACAACAAAACCTGCGGCTCTATTAAAGGTAGTGTTTTAAGGCTAATATAAGAGCTAGAAGAATTCCTATCTAAATTGTGGATTAGAAGTTATAAACCTAATGCGATAAGGACTTCTTAAGAGTTTCTTGATGGGCAAGACTCTTAGGCAGATGCATATAAATACAAGTGCCCTTGCTCAACCGATCAAGCCAACCCACACAAAAGAATTCACCCCATCTAGAATGAGTGTATGAAGCGATTAGAGTGAGGAGATGTGCTCTTGTATATTCTTGACATTCGACAACTCTAATGAAAGACAAAAGATGTGTATTCTATCATGTGCAGTCATTAATACAGTTTACAAAAGATGCTTCGATAATTTTCTTGCAAGACTCAAAGTGCGGTTGTGGTTATGAACAGCTAACTTTCCATATGTGATTATGAGTCTTTTGTGGTACGGAAATAGAATGATGTGATTCATTGGAAATTTTTTTCTAGTCTGGGAAAATTTGATAATGACATTGTGTAATTATTTCATGCTTTGTGGTATACCCTGAGTCACAACTTTTCTACAGATTCGTGCAAGTCTCATCTTACAAAGGCAATCTTTATTTATTGCACCTTATGTGGGATTTTGATATTTCTAAACCAATAAATATAAGAACATATGTGATACATTTTAATTTTAAAAAGGTAATTTCTGAAAAAGAATAATAATTAGAGAATTTAATGGGCCTAACATAAAAAATACCTGAATTTAATTTGTAATCCCAGAAGTTTAGCAGAAATAAATCTTAAAATTATTGACATTTTAGGTTAACCTTGTACCTGGACTCTTTACTGGAACTATTATATATTGAAAATCTCATTTTCTTAGCAAAAGTAGAAACAAAGAAATCCACTTGACAGCACAATCCTACTCTAATTGAAATCGAACGGTAAAGATTTTTTAGTCATGTGAAAGCAGCTGGTGAAAGACACATGGCCTCTACAGCTTTCCTTTGTTCACAAATTTTCTTAAATCGAAGACGTGCAACGCAATGTTTGACGGTAACATCACGTAGCATAATGACAGTGATACCATAAGAAAAATGAAATAATTAGAAAAACTCAATGGTACTTTTACTTTATAAGAAAAATGGAAGATCACTATCAAAATGGATCCTTGTTAGATAAACTGCTCAATGATTGGGCACCACTGCTCTTTTGTAAGTGTACCATCTAGCAACCAAAAGATAGAACCCTAAATTAATCACACTCAAGCAAGCCAAAAGCCAGAAAAAGTAGTGAAGGTGACCATAATTCAAGTTATCTGGTATCCAGCCAACCTTGCCATCTCTGGTGCTCACATCAGTCACAATATTGACAAGCATGGTGCTCAAATAGCTGCCCAAAGCAGCAGTTGTGAGAGAAAGAGCAGAGGACAAGCTCCTCATGGCATCAGGAGCCTGCTCATAAAAAAACTCCAATTGCCCAATGAAGGTAAAAACTTCAGCACACCCAATGATAAAATACTGTGGAACCTGCCAAAAAATGGACATGGGCATGTGCTTGAGGTCATAATAATTGTGCTTTCTCACTTCATTTAGTCTCACAAGCTCCAAAGTCCCTGCAGCCAACATGGCAAAAATGGAGATCACAAGCCCAATTGCTATTCTCTGGAGTTGGGTGAAGCCATTGTTTCTTTTTGTGAATTTTCTCACAAATGGAACTATCAAACGGTCATAAACAGGAACCCAGAAGATGACACTGATTGTGTCAAAGAGGGAGAGTGAGGCAGATGGGATTTCAAAGGATTTGGTGACGTGGAGGTCCATTGTGTTGCCTTGGAGCACAAACAATGTCCCCATTTGACTGTAGACTGCTGAGAAGATTATGCCAGTTGCCCATATGGGAAGCAACCTTACAAGGGACTTGAGCTCCTCAACTTGGGTCACAGTGCAGAGTCTCCATGCCATCACTGAGCCTTTGATTTTATCTGATGGAGTCTCCACCGCGGCCTTATCCAATAAACTACAAAAGTTATTAGCAACGTAAGTTTGACAAGAGAACATTTTCTATTGTTTTATTACGTGGAAAGTTAGCTTTCAAAAGTAACAAAGTCATGATTCTTTGTTACAAACTTACAATTTACCTTAACTCTTCTGTATGATCAAGCTTTCGGCTTCCTTTGACTACAGATTCCTCATCAGCAGTTTCATACAACAGAGACTTGTCACCAGGAACTTTTACTCTGAATTTCCTGAAGGATGCAACAAACACTTGACAAATGCGAGTCAGGGGACTCCCACCAGGCCTCTGGTTTCGATACAACCGGGTACCCGAAAAGAAGCTCACAACAGCAAGTGCCATCGCCACAGCTGGGATGCCAAAGCCCCAACTCCATCCAACGTTTGTTTGTATCCACACAAGCACAGAGGAAGCCACAAGGGCACCAATGTTGATTGAGAAATAGAACCAGTTGAAGAAGGATCCCTTGTTCTTTTTCTCAGCCTCATCAGAGTCATCAAATTGGTCTGCCCCAAATGATGAGACACAAGGCTTTATGCCTCCAGTTCCAAGTGCTATGAGGTAAAGCCCCATAAAAAACACCCCTGCTTGTAACCCTGTTGGATGACACACATTGTTTGTGTCACAGGGAGGTTTTAGTCCTTGGAGTGATGCCGATAAGGTCAACAATGTCATTCCCTGCAACAAATTATGGATTTTTCATTTCATATGGAAAATGAGTTTTGGATTTATGGACCAACAAGGATTTTAGTATATAGTTTTGACAGAGAAATTGACTTACAAAAACATAGATGATGGAGAAGGCAGCAATTGTCCAGTATCTTCCTAAGTATGCATCAGCTAGAAATGCTCCAAGTAATGGGGTCACATAGCAAGTGCCTGACCAATTTGTGACATTATTGACAGCAACCACATTCCTCTGGTTCAGTTGAAACTTGAGGTAATTAACAAGATTTGTGTTGATCCCATAGTAAGCCAATCTTTCACAGCATTCATTTCCTGTTCATCAAAAGCCAAAGATTGTAATTAAGCATTTGTTATTCATCATAATTCAAACAAAAATATTAATGAAGGGAGTTTAATTACCTAGAATATAAGGGCAAGCTTTCCATGTTCCTGTGTTCTTCTTGATTGCAGGCCTGTTTTGGTAATCTGTTGTTCCATCCTTGGTATGGATATCTTCTTCTTCCATTAATAATCTTTCTATCTCACTCATATGAAGTTTCTCTCTCTTGTGTGCCTCACTTTTATTTTAGTGAGAGAAAGCTTGAGCTCAAGGGCGTTCTTCAATATGCTCTACAGCAAGCAGTTTTATGTGAATTCATGGTGCACTGCAAATTGACGACATATGGCACGCAATTCAAACGGACCCTTGAAAAGCTTTCTTGATTCAATGTAACCTATAAATGTCGTGCACTTGTGTTGGTTTCAGCTGTGGAGGTGACATTTAGGCATGATCAGAAATTGGACTGCTGAATGTATTCAAATTAAGATGACCTTATCTGCAGCAGCAGCGTTTCATTAAAAGTTATTTCCTGGCACACTTTCTAAGACACAACATGACAGAATTACCGCGCGTTATATCTAATTATGTATATGTCTTTCTCATCATGTAATTAATAACAGAGGTAGCATTTGGCATGTGCAACATGGACGATTGCATAGGGCCCCCAACATTATTTTATTATATAATTATATACTTGTTTTCTTACTCTCTAAATCTCTTCAACTTTGTGCTCCCTCTATCTCAATCATAATTGATGATAATTAGTAATTTAATGAATCATGGAATTTTGGTTTTATGTTCCTGTTGAATTATTTGTTTGATAATCCTTTATAATATTAAAAAATCATATGGTGATGAGTTTTTAGTTCTAAATTTGCTATCAATATATTTTTTGGTTGTATTTTCGTCCAAAAATTTTGTTTTAGGAGGCCTCATTTCTATTGTGCACATGGCCCCCAAAATCTCAAAGCTGCCCCTACTAATAATGTGACGTGAGACACAGACACCCACCAGTTATATATAATTGTGTGTATGTCTCTCTCATTATGCGACTAATAATGTGACGTGATAAATAAATACATTATTGTATGCAACCAGTTACACCTAAGATTTACCCATGCCACACTGTCTCAGGCCTAAAACTTGTTTAGGGCATGGACGAGATTACATCCAGGGCCAATTGATTAACTTAAATGCAGAAGGCCCAACCCAATATGTTCGTGATGACCTTGACTGAACCTTGATCTTGATGCTAGTGAGTTAGCATTTGGTTGGGCCGTCTTTGGTTTAAAGATTTGCCTACGCTGTCTGGCCCAACATTACAGCTTCCCGACCCCAGAAGTTTCCAACTATGAAAATTTTGCTTCAACATATTCAGATGAAGTCGTGTTTTCAATGAAAGATACATTCATTGTCGTCCTTACTTGTTCTAGATGTCCCGTACTTAATTATGAGATTAGATATCAATTCATACTACCTATTATTTAATGGCGTTGATGAAATTAATGTTACTCAACAATTATATCACTCGTATTAGCACTCATTACTAAGCAAAAAAGTCGGCACCTTTTTATTTTATTAGCTTCTTGTATAGGGCTCATGAAAGTGAAAAATAATTCAAACATCGTATCTAGAAGACACTGATAACTTTAAACAATGAAGACTAACAACGTTTTCCTCCGTTTTTTTCTTTTAATGTCAAACAAAAATGTTTTTCTCGTTAACTTAGGGTAGTTTGTGGTCGATTTCTACGTACTTTGACCTTCTCGGTCGTTTCTTTGACGATTTTAGGGCCTACGACAATTCGATCTTCAAGTTAATGGATTTTGATCGTATACAATATGTATCAATACTATTTCATCAAGCAGAAGTGCCTAAGCATGATGAAGATTAACTTCCTACAAAATTGACCATCATAACCACACACCTACTTTTAATTTGTCATATGCGCATAATAATGTACTCAAAGTGTATATATACGAGGGAGAGTGTGGTGTTAAGGTTGGAGAAAAGAAAGAAGAAGAAGAGGACGTTGATGAAGAAACAAACAGAGAAGAGAGAAGTGGATGAAGACTCACTGAGTTTACCCACCGTCTGTTTACTTAATTAGTCTTGGCTTTCAAACAAACCATGATTTCCATGCTGTTGATACATGACCTGAAAGCCATCTCTCAACCATTAACTAATTTGTTTGTGGTCTAAGCATCCCATGTAGACAGTATGTATGTGTTTACACTTCCCTCTACGTATTTCTCAACCAACCACATAGTACATGCATTTTGGCTTTCCCCTACTTCATCATATACGAAATTACGTACACAGTTCATATATATTGTGTTAAAAATAAGTAAACTTTGGATGTAAGTAAGAAGAAATACGTATACTCAATTGGCACTTCTAGAAGCACTGCAGATTTTGAACTCACAGATTTTGACATATACATTATTCTAGCTAGCTTCATATATGAAGGTGTCATCAAACTTATAAAAATTTTGGCATGAACCACTTTGCTTCCATATGTTGTTGAAATTATGACTAGGTTGAACTGAAACAAATCTAAATAATATAAGTAGGTCATGGCCTACCAGCTGCTGGGTTGACCCAAAAGCCTCTGTAGGCAGTAGATAAACATCCTATTAATTATACCCTAAGTCAGGGGGACATAATTAACTTGTCTCAAACAAACAAACAAACTCCATAAACAAAAAGGTTAATTATGAGATAAAATGTCATTTAATGAGCTTATTATCCGCAATTACCAGAAATTGCCAAGAAATATCAGCTGGCGTGGTCAATTAAAAACCTTTATGTGACATGTAAGATAACACAGGGAAAAACCTCGGTTAGCTTAAGAAATCTTGTTTTTAAAGAGTTCCATCGTCCACCTACCAAGGAAAAACGACATGGCAGCAATGCCTCTCGTCACCCTTTATAAGTTTACGCTGGCCAGTCATGACCATGAACAACAACAACAATACCAAGACAAACAATTAAGAACAGAGAGATCTTTCAGTAGTGTTACTATTGCGGGGAGAAACAGAGAGAGAGAGAGCAGTGATAAATGGAGTTGTGGGTTCGATTTCTCGTGCTTTTTCTGGCGTGCCTTCTTCCGGGTTTGGTTGAGAGCAGAATCCGACACTACAAGTTTAATGTAAGTACTTTAACCACATTGTTCTTGCTACATAATTTTTTGTTGCATTGTTCTTGCTATCTGGTTTTTGTTACATTGTTCTTGCTGTATAGTTTTTGTTATGGCCTTTGTGACATTCAAAGTTGGCAAAAAACAAAGGCTGCCCAAGACATGGCAAGAGATGATTAATCGAATTGATTCAACTTAATCAAGAACTTCTCTGATACTGAATTTGATCAAACTGGTCTTTGTAGTTTGTAGAAAATTAAATCATATCTCAGAGTCAGACATGAATTTCTTAGACTAAAAGATAAGTGACAGGGAGGTATATCCAATTTAAAAATGAAAAGTACATGGATGGTACAACCTCAAAACCTAAAAGTTACACCTTCGATCATATTGCTGCCAAATGACACTGCATTGCTAATTTCTCACAACAACATTACAACATACCTATTTTATAATTGATTAAGATGCTCAGTTGGTCCAAATTCTAACAAGAGTAAATTTTAACTTTGGTTTTGCCACTTTGTCCCTATTGGTGACGTGCTTAGGTGGTCTTGAAAAATACTACCAGACTATGCTCCACCAAGCCGATCGTAACCATTAACGGTCGGTTCCCGGGGCCAACCCTCTATGCCAGGGAAGACGACACAGTGCTCGTCAAAGTTACCAACCATGTCAAGTATAATGTTTCCATTCACTGGTGAGAATTTAGAAACCAATTTAATTATACACCACTTCATGACTAATCATCAGTCTATAAGTCACATTAAATTCAATGTACAAAATAATAATAATCTCAATTACCAAATTAAATTTTGGACCGGCAGGCATGGTGTCCGGCAACTGCGAACTGGTTGGGCAGATGGTCCAGCATACATCACACAGTGCCCAATTCCCCCAGGCCAAAGCTATGTGTACAACTTCACCATCACAGGGCAAAGAGGCACACTTCTTTGGCATGCGCATATTCTCTGGCTAAGGGCCACAGTCCACGGTGCCCTTGTAATTTTGCCCAAGCGTGGTGTGCCTTATCCATTCCCGGCACCCCACAAGGAAGTGAATGTCATATTAGGTGAGACTTAATTACTCTGTTTTTTTTTTTCTTCTAATAACAACACAATTGCAGGTGAATGTTTGATTTTATATAAATTAATTAAACAATATGCATATTGCAGCTGAATGGTGGAAATCAGATACTGAAGCAGTGATCAATCAAGCTCTCAGTTCTGGTATAGCACCAAATGTCTCAGACGCTCACATCATTAACGGCCATCCAGGCCCCGTTGCAAATTGTTCTTCCGAAGGTACGCACACATGAATGAAAAATAACATACTAGGCTGTCTGACGAGAGAACATTTCTAACATATCCTAATGCAGGCGGCTTTACATTGCCTGTGGAAAACGGCAAGACCTACCTGCTACGAATCATCAATGCTGCGCTCAATGAGGAGCTCTTCTTCAAAATTGCAGGACACAAATTGACCATAGTGGAAGTAGATGCTACCTATGTGAAACCATTCAAGACAGACACCATTGTGATTGCCCCAGGGCAAACCACCAATGCCCTCATCACGGCGAATCAAAACTCAGGCAAGTACTTGGTTGCAGCCTCACCATTCATGGACTCTCCCATTGCTGTCGACAACCTCACTGCCACTGCAACTCTGCATTATTCAGGCACACTTGCAACCACACCCACAACTCTCACCAACCCACCTCCCCAAAACGCAACCCAAGTTGCTAACAATTTTATCAACTCCCTCAAAAGCTTAAATTCCAAGAAATTTCCAGCCAAAGTCCCATTGAAAGTTGACCACAACCTCTTGTTCACAGTTGGGCTCGGGATCAACCCGTGCCCTACTTGCAAAGCAGGTAATGGGAGCAGAGTTGTGGCAAGTGTCAACAATGTCACATTTGTTATGCCAACAACTGCTCTTCTTCAAGCTCATGTTTTCAACATCAGTGGGGTTTTTACCACCGATTTTCCGGGCAACCCGCCAAATACCTTCAACTTTTCTGGAGGTCCACCTGCAAATGCGAGCATGGCAACCACAAATGGGACAAAGCTTTATAGGCTGGCTTATAACTCGACTGTTCAACTTGTTTTGCAAGACACTGGGACTATAGCCCCTGAGAACCACCCTGTCCATTTACATGGATTCAATTTCTATTCTGTGGGCAGGGGAGTGGGGAATTACAATCCCAAGAAGGATCCTAAGAAGTTTAATCTTGTTGATCCTGTTGAAAGGAACACAGTTGGAGTGCCATCCGGCGGATGGGCAGCTATCCGATTTCAAGCAGATAATCCAGGTAAAATATGTAAAAATCATCTATTATATGAGCCCGTCATATTTATTGTTTCTCATAACATGTATGTGAGATTCACTATTATGTGATGGGAGCCTATGTACATATTATGAGAGGAACGTCACATAGTACAGATTGATATCGAAATTCCTTTATCATTATAGGTAATTGAGATTTGGTGCCAGTTTAATTCACTTATAACCTTTTCTTTTCCCAAATTTGTTTGCAATTTTCAGGGGTGTGGTTCTTGCATTGCCACCTTGAAGTGCACACGACATGGGGGCTTAAGATGGCATTCTTGGTGGACAATGGGAAAGGACCGAATGAATCAATTCTACCACCTCCAAGCGATCTCCCAAAATGTTAATGTAGCCAAAAGGGGCCTCTAGTCTTGCAAGTAGAGAGAACTAACAAAAAAAGAGACGTGCGGACTCAAAGGCACATGATCAAGAAGAAGAAGAAAGAGCGGATGAATAAACAAACAAATTTATATATATATATATATATTTCTAGATTCAAACTTATTTCTTGAGTAACTGAAAAAATTTGCTTGAGCAAAGTTTGAGTTAATTTTTGGTTGTTGAAGTGAAGAATACCGCATTTTTTTTCAAGAATTAATATATGTATTGGATCTTGGATGTGCAAGTCTTTGTTTATCTATTATAAAGTTGTGAAATGGAATTTTAAATTTTCTTGTGACTTCTATTTGCATATTTGACGTTGAAAAATAGTATAGCTCAGTTGGTTGAGTTCTTCCACCTCCACCCATATGAATAGAGATTCGAAACTCCAATCGCTTGTGCAGCTCCTCTTCTTCATTAATAGAGAGACCACAAACTTATGAGTAAATGACATGGGCCATTGAAGTTGGTATAGGCCCCATGGGCTCTCCAAGGGCATTGTTTTCCTATAATGAAACAATTTATGACAGATTTTTCTGATCCAAAAATACTAATTCATTTAACCTGCGAAATTTAGATCCACCATCAGTATAGTTAACAAACCTATTTTTAGAATTTATACCTTTTGAATCTCGACTCCGTGGATCCTGATTCTTGAGAAAGTTCATGAATCGTCTTGTGAGAATCGTTAATTCCTCATCACTGCAATCTTCATTTGAATGCTCATCATCTTCTTCATTCACAACCTTGAACGCAACATTTTTGCTCTTTTTAAGAGGTAGATGTTTCATCTCATAGGTTTGTATGGACCCTATGAGTTCTTGAACTTTCAAGGTGTTCAAGTCACGGATCTCTTCAATAGCCGTGATCTTTGGTTGAAACCGTTGAGGCAAGGATCTCAAAATCTTTTTCACAACTCTATCTTCTGGAATTTTTTCACCTAAACCTGAACAAGCATTCACAATTACACAAAGTTTAGCATAAAATTCAGAAAAAGTTTCATTCTCATCCATCATGAGTGTCTCAAATTGTAAAGTGTGCATTCAGTATATGTTCCTTCATGAGTAACATGCAAAATATCCCACCAAGCTTCCTTAGAAGTATCACAAGCACATATATATTCAAATTGATCAGAAGAGACAGCGGTAAATAAAGCATTTAACCCCTTTTGATTATTAGTGCTGTGTGTGACTTCTGCAGTGGTCCACTCCTCTCTAGTTTTGAGGACTGTAGTTTCTTCATCTCCTTTTCCAATCTTCTTTGTGGGTTTAGGAAATCCATGAACCACTGTACTCCACACACGTTCATCCAAGGACCAAAGAAACGACTTCATTTTGGCCTTCCAAGCGTCATAGTTGTTGCCATCGAAATATGGTGGATGTGCAATTGAGCCCGAGGCATGATCCATCCTAAGGTACGTTAAATCTTGCTGAGTATGTCCAGGAACCTACTATGATGCCAATTGAAAACACCTGCAGGATGTCTATATATACCTAGAGAAGGTTAAACAGGCTAATTCGAATTTTTTGCAATAAATAATAATCAACTTTTGAAGCAGGATTGATATGGCTTATCAATCCTGTAATGTGCAGAGCTTAAAATAAAAGAACACTCAGAGAATTATTTTACGTGGTAAAACCCCACCTCTGGGGAAAATCCACGGGACTTCTTAGTCCAACACAAATCCACTATAGAACGATGATTACAAGAAGTACTCACACACTTATCCTGCACACATTCTAGATAATGTTTACCGACTTCTTCATAACTCAACTTCTATCACGGGATGATCTTCGACACTCCTTATGTTGAACACAATACTGGCCACGATTGCTTCAAGCTCACTGGAGGAAAACCGCCACCACAGTCTTGGTGCCCACAACCGTATGAGTCACCGACATGCATATGAATGCAATATGAATGTTGAATGAATTCGATAAATCACCAAGTCACAGAAACCCTAATGACTTACCAAGTGAAATAAGTGCAGCAGCTTTTCCAAAAAACAGATTCAATATGCTCTCAAAATTAATGCGTTGAAAAGCTACTAATGAAAGGAAACAAACATCCATTTATTCAAAGTAAATTTAGGGTTTAACCAAAAAAAAATTTTCACTTTTAGAAAAAGCCAAAACTTTTTAAAAAAAGACAAAAAAATCTCTCAACTTTCAAATCAAAGACATGCAAATGTAAAGGATTCTTTAGGAAATCCAAAAATAAATCAGGGTAATTTTGTCCATTTTGGCTTCTTTTACAAAATTTCTCTCTCCTTTGTGTTTTTCCAATTTCTCTCACAAGAGAGAAACTTGCGAGACTACACTTCCAAAGCAAGTATGACTTTAAGACCAAATCAGCTAAACCTCCTTAAACCTGATGCAATATGAATTCCTTAAAGAGACGCCACACAAGAGCCAACCAATTATCCAATAAATTCTGATTCAATGAAAATGCAAAGTCTGATTCATTATGGACTCTTAATGAATTTAACAAATGTCCACTTTTAATAGGGAACCAATTGACTCTTAAAGCCAGATAATTGGAAGATACGCATAGTGCACAACACTTAGGAATCTGCTCATATTTTAACTTCAAACACAAAGACTCTAAAAAGAACTTCAACTATAAGTCATATCATGAATGCATGATTGTGTCATGATTTACCTGAAGTTAAGTTTCTCATATCGGTCAAGTCATGCCTCGGATGTATGAGGTTGAAAGAGTAGTGCCAAAACGTCCAGTCGCAATTCCTCACAACTAATTTTCAACCTATACTAAAGTCTAGGAAATGACAATACAATTTTCATACTAACAGAGAGGATTAGGGGTGACTAAATGATAGGTTTACCTAGAATTAGCTCTATTTGGAATATTTGGGGGAAGGTTCTATACAAAATGTTTCTAAGGGTAAACCTCTAGCGCTAACCCTTTTGTATAAAAATAATAACTTTTTCTGTAACTTTCACTTTTGTTTTTCCTTTGTCAGTAGTGCAAAAATCAATTATTATGGCCACCTTTCTTGTATCCCTTTTCATTCTACTTTATGTGTGCCATGTATTAGGAAAACATAAACTTTATATTCAATGAGATATTTGTATTTGAGTTTGTATTAGTCAGAGATAAGTAAGTTCATTCTTCCATTATGGTTGAGAGAGTAGACTACTCAGTTAATCCGACTATTGAACCTTTATATATAGAGAAGCTCGCCTAATCCCTTAGGACATAACATAACCCAGTTTTTGTACTTCTCCTCTTCTTATCAATAAAATCCTATCGGCTCGTTATAAAAAATAAAATAATTAAAAAAAACTTCAGGAGAAAACTTCAATTTCTTCATTTACTGTTCCTAATAGATTGGTTTTTATGATGATTTAATATTGGTCATACTTGTAGGGATAGTTTATGCATTTTTGTAATTTGAAAAAAAAAAAAACAAATATTTCCAATACATTATTGGTTCCCTATTTGACTTTACTTGTAATTTGAACTTATCCTCACTTGATTAAGATTAAGATCAAGATCAATTAGGAGATGAAAATGACCAAGACAAGTACACATGTGACGCCTAACATGTACCATAAAATAAATATTTTTATAATAATATCAGAAAACAATTATATATGCAAGAGTGCACTTTACCGACAGTTATTCACGACTTTCAAGAGTTAAATTAATGATTAATTTTTCATGAACTCGTGTGGGGTGCGATTGTAATTAGCAACCAAATTGAATTTGTCATACTACCATACTATATCTATCTGGGATATTTTAGAGGAAAAGGAGATTGGTCATTTGATGCGAAATTACGAAAAGGCCCACATGCGCATTCTGTCACCAATCGGCGAATCACAGGCTGTCCATTTCAAAGTCTCTCTACATGTTGTTGTTGGGGTTCTCTGTTTCTCTCTCTCTACGCGCTGCGCCCACAAAGCCCATACCAACCAATCACAACTCTACAACTTTGACCTCTCTTTTTCACTCTCTTCCCTCTGCTTGTTCCTGTTCCATAGATCCCCCCTTCTCTCTCTCTCTCTCTCTCTCTGTATTATTATTCACTGCCTATAGCCTACAAACCTAAAAACCCCATTTAAAGAAAGAAAAGAAATTTCCCACTCTCTTCTTCAGCTCACCCCTGCAAAAGCACTCTCCTTTATCAAGTTTCCTTACTTGGGTCTTGTTCTCCTTTTCGGTTTTCATTATAATCTTCTCAAGTTTTCTTCTGCGTACTTAAATTTCACTCTCCAAGCTCCAAGCTTTCCTGAAAACTTGATCTGGGTTTTGCTTTTTGTTTTTGTTTTTGTGTGCCTTTGAATCTGGTGTGGAGGTCTAGGGTTTATCTTTGACAATCCAAGATCTAATATTTTCATATTGCTTATCGAATTTCCCCCCTTGGGTTTTGGAAAGGTTGGGCCTTTTTCAGATTCCTCAACATGTGCTTGTGTTAAAACCCCACTGAGATTCCTTTTCAAATGCTACTCCTTGATTAATGCTTCTTTGGTCATAAAGACCTTCACTTCTCTGCATTTCCTATCTGGGTTTTCTCTCTCTTTGAGCTTTCAAAGAGAGAGAGAGAGAGACAAACAGGCTCATTGTTTTACTTATCCTTGGCTTGCTTGCTATGTGATTCAGTTTCCCAGTTTGACCAACTATATAAAAAACCATGTACAGAGGAATTGGAATTCTATCTCCAACCTCGTATCTTGAGAACTCAAATTGGTTGTTTCAAGAGAGCAATGGAACCGAGTGGACTGCAGAAGAGAACAAGCAATTTGAAAATGCTCTTGCTCTTTATGATAAGGATACTCCTGATCGATGGTTCAAGGTGGCAGCTAGGATCCCTGGAAAGACTGTAGGCGACGTGATCAAACAGTACAAGGAATTGGAAGAGGATGTTAGTGATATTGAAGCTGGGCTTATCCCAATCCCTGGTTACACCAGTAACTCTTTCACATTGGAGTGGGTTAACAATCAAGGCTTTGATGGGTTGAAACAATTTTACGGTGTTGGTGGAAAGAGAGGCACCTCGACCCGGCCTGCTGATCAGGAAAGGAAGAAAGGGGTGCCATGGACAGAAGAAGAACACAGGTACTTACATGCCTATTGACTATATCATATATACTACTCATTTGTCCTTGTATTTACTCTGCCAATGGTGAGTGTCAGTGAGGAGAGACATGTTTTGAGAGCAAGTTCTTGAAACCCTTTAAAAGTCTGGAACATGAATTTTTCCTAGAATTGAACCTGTTCATGGCTATGGTAAAGTTGAAATTTTAGCTGGAGAAATGTTAGGTGGAGAACCTGAAATTATTATGCATAGTTTTGAGAGCTAAGGGTTGCTAGATCTGGTGAATTAGGTATAGTTCGTAAAATTTAATGTGCAGATGAACAGTATAACTGGTTTAATAATTGGGTTACTATAAAGTGTTTTTGGCTTGCGTCCTAGTGTCTTCTTGCAGCTTTTGATGTGGTGTTCTTTGATAATTGTACCACAGGCAGTTTCTGATGGGTCTTAAAAAGTATGGTAAAGGTGACTGGAGAAACATCTCTCGCAATTTTGTGACCACAAGGACGCCTACTCAGGTAGCCAGTCATGCTCAAAAATACTTTATTAGGCAACTTACAGGAGGGAAGGACAAGAGAAGATCCAGCATCCATGATATCACAACCGTCAATCTCCAAGATAACAAACCTCCCTCACCAGACAGCAAAAGCCCTCCATCACCAGACCATTCTTCCACAGTGGTGCAGTCACAGCAGCATCAAAAGGTGGCTGGCATGAGTGAACAACAATTTGACTGGAAATCGCCAAATGAGGGGCAGCCTATGGTTTTCAATTCAGCAAATGGGAGCACCTTCATGGGACCATTTTGTGGGATTTCTTCATATGTACCTAAGCTTGAGGAGCAAAATTTTCTCAGTGGCAATCTTCATGGATCTCAACTGGGGCATTACAATGCGCGTTTTCAGATGCAATCGATGCGATACCAGTGAACCTGTGCATGGAGGGTGCTAGAGCTATAAAAATGCCAGACTATTGCTCTCCCTCCATGCTACATCAAGGTTTTTATGTGGTGAAAAAGTTGATGATGAGGACATTGAGTTAGTCCCCTAGTTTTAGACTCTACAGAGAGATCAGTTAGTTCATCTTGTGATTTAATATTCAAATTCTGAAAGTCCGAAAGAAGGGAAGCTTATTTACATGAAAGCTTGAGCTTTATCACTTGTGATTCTGGTTGTGTGCTTGGGGATTTTGAGAATAGTCAGAAATGAGAGAGTAATTTTGAGATTGAGTTTGCATGTCTTACAAATATTCTATTTCAAGTAATTTTCTGCAACAAAGTGACTTGAAGGTACATGCGAATAAATGAAAACCACCCTTCTTACTTGCATGAAGTAAGCCATGCAGGTGCAGCTTCCAAAATTCAGAGTGGGTGGGTTACAGGCATCAGTGAAAGAAATAAATTTGACGGGGAATCTATTTTAACGGTTGAGATACGTCTTAGGATATCAAGTCCTTGATTTACTTTAAGAAGATATTTATGAACAGTGCAGAATAAACTGTAGCTTTTGAATCAAAAAACTCAAAAGTCCGTCTGTGGCATGGTTTCAACGCACAGAATTATGCATGCTTTGCTTTACAGGCCATGTCATCAGATGCCTCGGTCCACTGCATTTCTGCAAATGACAAAGTTTAATTGGATCTGTTTAACCCTGACTCTTTTTATGCAAACTATGATTAATATATGCCTCTGACTGCACCTTGATTGATTACATTTGACAATCGAATCTTGACTCTAAGCTAAGACCAAGAGCCACTAATTTGGGCATCTCATGCTTCATTCTACCCTCTTTTCACTTTGTTCTCTTCTTGAGGATGACTCTTCTTTTTGTACTCATATTTAGCATTATTTTCTTCTGGTCACATTGGATTCAATTTAGCCCTTAATTTATCACAATCCTAACTCATTTTCATTCACCGTTTCAACTAATTCAAAACTTTATATTTAAAGTTACATTCAAAAGTAGAAAGCGACGGATTATCACATGCATCAATGATTCACAATTCTTCACGCGCGTGCAACACGGTAACATAAGTCTCGAATTAATTCTACTTAATTTTTTTTATAAAGAAAATAGCCGTACACCAAAGAATAAAGGATCCGTACAACAGCCTCCCTCCCTTCCTCCAAAAGAAAGGCAAGTGTCAGTGGTACTGGTATCTGCAGAGAGTTGGATTTCCTTGACTGCTTAATGTAATAAGCAGAGGGAATCATGGTTTAATGATTCGTAATTGTACTATGCCAGATAAAGAAACTTCAAAAAGGCTACTACTATATTGTTCTTCCAACCCCATCCTCCCCTCCCCTCTCCTCTCCTCTCCTCTCCTCTCCTCTCCTAAAGACCCCTATGCAAAATTTATGGGACATCAAAGCTTATTATTAGCTACCATTTGTATTAACTAATCACTCTTTATGCACCTCAAAATGGGCTTTGGATTCTCTGAGAAAATAACGTCTTGTGTGAAAGCACTTTCGTTACTAAAGGTATCTTCTTGCTAGTCAAATGCAATGTGGAGAGAATGATCTTGACCATATATCAACTCTTCGGTGGTTTAGTTAGACTAATATCAAATGTGGTTATATTTCAGGTCCTTAGGAGTCAATGTACTTGACCTCTAATCGTCCAAACTTGATGGTTTCAGATGAAATTGAGTTGAGTACGTTTGAATAAAGGGACATTCGAACTTGAGATTCCTAAATGCATTGTTCACTATGGATGAGGAGTCATCCCACCCAAGATCTTCAGCATTTGTAGTACTACACAAGCAGACACTACATGTGTGGAACTTTACTAATCATTATAAAAGGTAGGACTTACCACCAACTTTGAGATTGACAAATAAGATCAAGTAATTTTTTCAGAACATTGTCTATAACACGTATCATCTTTTAATTGAAAGTTCAAAATTTACCCCCACAAATTTACCTGGGATCGAAAATCTCAAACAGTTACATGTACAATCAAATCTTGTAATATTGCAGTTAAAATTGGAGGAGGACGGTACATATTCCTATTCTTATTCATAGTTGGGCCCTTTGTTGAGTTGCTTGCTGTCGCTAATTGCTGGCACTAACATTATTGTTGCTTTTTTGCAACCTTCATTTCATGAAAAGCCTAGTGCCCACCACCCTATTGCTTGGACACATTATTTTGGTCCCACCCACTAGACAAATACTTCGAGGCAACATGACCAATGTGAAGAATCCTACCAAAAAAGGGAGAAGAAAAAAAACACTTGAGCTATTAAATGACAAAATTACCCAACTTTCTTTTTTAAAAGAAGCAACTTTTTCTGCAAGTTGCATCGGAAAAGCACTTTGGCCACCTTTATTCTAATTTTGATTATATAACTTTTGTGTTGATTTATGACCACATACCCAAGTCTCTCACAACACAAACTTTTTGGCTTTCTTGTGTTCCTTCAATGTTTATGCAAAAGTATTCTGATTCTTCTCTTGAGTGGTTTCAAACTTTCAATTGACATGCCTCCGCTCAGCCATGTGTAAATTAAAATTTGGTTACCCACATGGTCCCTTAAGTGACAAAACAATGAGTACACATGAGACTGAACTATAAACTCGTCTATTCTTATTAGCTGGAGATTGCACGTACGCTGAATTTTAAAATTATGAATAAAATAAAAATTTGGTCACATAGTTTAGAAACTACTGCATTCATGAAAAAGGAAAGAAAGCTCAGTGAGTAGTTGGTGGAGTTATTTATTAATTTCCCATGGTGCATCATTGTGGTTGTAAGTTAATGAATGTCACCAGAAAAGAACTGAAAGGAGGAAGAAAGTGGAAGAGATTTCATGTCTTTATAACCAATGATCATATAATAAACATAATTAAGCTGCACATTTTGCATATCCAAACAAACGAAACATGTTTTTAAAACACTTTTTTACAGATTAAACTAATTTCCAAATTGAAAAGTGGTTGTTGGGAAATTGCAAAACACACACATACACCCCAAAAAGTTGATTACATGAGGTGGGAAATGATCTGTGTTGAGCTGCGCAGGCAATGTTAGGGTGCAATTCCTTGTCATGTCTTCCATTGCTTGGTTCAATTGAACTCTTTGATGCTTAGTGAAGGCTATCTGTTCCAAATTCTCTGTTGCATGCCAAATTTGGTAGAGATGGAATAGGCAGCTGATGGGGAAATTTATTATAATTAATTTGCTGCCTACCAAAAAGCAATTTAAAAAGAACAAGAGGAAATTGGTAAGCTTTTTTCTGCATGCAGATGGGTTGTTGCTGGTATATATGGGCATTGCTGATAGGCTCCAATGGTTTTGTTAAACCCTTGCATGTGAGAAATTATGAGTTTGAATAATATATCATTTCTAATTTGACCCAACTTCGAGTTTCAATTAATAAGTGAATTATCTGTGCAGGATCAAACTGATTTTTGATTATATATAAGAAGGAACTAGATTAGATGCATGATTAAATTTTGAGCTGACTTTGTATCAAGGTCAATTGTCAACCCCTTTCATGTGATAAATTTTGACTTTGTATCAAAGAAATATATTTTAGTTCCCATTTTTTAAATGAAAAACAAAGAATGAGAGTATAATTTCCTTAAACTTTGAGGTCCATTGATTTTTGAAATTCATAATTAATTTCTTCAATTACGATATCTTCTAATATCAGGAAGAAATGTACCACTAAATTAGGAGTTAGTTCGTAATCAATATTATAAACTGTTATTTAGTTCGTAATCAATATTATAAACTGTTTTTAGAAATGACGTAGTGTAGAAAAATCATATTTTGAAAACTTGACTTCGGTGTTTTGTTAATGAGGTCTAGCCTAGTGAAAAATGATCCTAACTTGCAGAGCAGTGCTCTCAAGTTTGAACCCCCCCACC